GTCTGATGAATTCTGTGAGGAACATGGTATTATTCATAAGAGGACGCCTACCTATTCGCCCAAATCAAACGGGATTGCTGAGAGGAAAAGCCACATGCTGACTAACTTGGTGAATACCATGTTAAACACTACTGGTTTATCAAAGGCATGGTGGGTGGAGGCATTATTGACTGCGAGTCATGTCCTGAATATAATTACAAATAGAAATAAAGAAACAAACCTATATGAGGATTGGGTTAGGAGAAAACTGTCACTTTTATACTTATGTACGTGGGGATGTTTGGCAGAAGTCAACATACCAATTTCTAAACAACGCAAGCTTGGACCGAAGACTGTGGACTATGTCTTTCTAGAATATGCCCAGTAGAGCATTGCCTATAGGTTTTTAGTAGTAAAATATGTAGTTCCTGATATACATGTTGATACAATTATGAAATCTCGTGATGCTACATTTGTTAGAACATATTTCCTATGAAGATATGCATAGCAATACTAGATTTTCTTTTGAGATAGCTCTAGATTTTACTGCACCTATTGAGTCTGCTATTAAGCCGTTTGAGCACCCACATGAGGAAGTCCTAGAGAAGGATGACAACAATGAAGCTCCTGTGAGGAGCAAGAGCAAAGGATTATAAAATCTTTTGGTGATGAATTCTTTAGACAATACTCCCTTGTCTATCGCAGAGGCATATGCATCTACAGATGCCGACGATTGGAAATAAGTTACCCGTAATGAGATCGACTCACTTCTTTCTAATGGAACTTGGGAATTAACTGAGCTACCCTATGGTTGTAAACCAGTGGCTTGTAAGTGGGTGTTCAAGAAGAAGCTTAGGCCTGATGGTACTATTGATAAGTACAAGGCTTGACTTATGGCTAAGGGTTATACCTAGAAGGAAGGCGAGGATTTCTTTGATACTTATTCACCTGTTGCTAGAATGACCACTATTCGAGTGCTACTTTCACTGCTACCTCATATGGTCTTCTCGTTCATCAGATGGACGTGAAGACAGCTTTACTTAATGGAGAGTTGGATGAATATATGGATTAGCCTGATGCGAAACTAGTAAAAGATAAAGAGCGCAAGGTATGTAAGTTATTGAAATCTTTATTTGTATGTCTTGAAACAAGCACCTAAACAATGGCACGAGAAGTTTGACACAACTTTAACCACTGCGTAGGTAAAAATAACAAATGCGCACATACTGATGTATACAAAATGAATAATAGAAGACAACAAAAGTCAGTGAACTTCGATCTTTATTAATGTCTAGGAGAATTACAAAGCACACGAGCCAATTTGATATTTACATTGTGTTGCACCTAATATATCTCGCAACTAGAAAATGAAGATGCCACGAGAGTGAAAATATGTCAAAAAAATATACATACCGTCATGAAAACAATCCGTGAGGGTCAACTGTCATACAACAACCCTCACGAATCAAACGCCATGGAAATCACATTTTCATGAACGTTGACCCCCACAAACTTTTTTCATGACGGTGACCTCAATAAAAATTAGGGTGTCGTCATGTTTGTGGAAACATTTTCATTGCTGTGACACCTCCACGAAAATAATCGTGAGCGTTGAAAACCATCATGAAAATATATTTGTACCACCAGAAAAATATATTTTCATGAGAGCGCAACACAACCATGAAAATGCATATGTATAGGAAGGAACACATCTTATTTGGATGTTGCTAGATTCACCTCAATTCACATGTGTTTTGGATTAGAGTGAAATTTAGTTCAGCTCCATTCTAATCCACTACAACACATGTGGATTGATATGAAGCTCTCAAATGGGAATAAAATGGAGGCCGTTGAAGCCATCAGGCACTGTTCATCCGCTGTTTGTTCTCACTGCGTGCTACTATTCACATCGGTCACTTCCATTAGGTACAGGCTGCTATTTTATTTTTTTCACTGTTTAATATTGTTTACAGAGATTGTTTCGTGGTGCTATGCATGCTCCCACGCGCTGTTTAGACATAATATATATATACTCCCTCAACTGAGAATAAAATGGAGGCCGTTGAGGCCATCAGGCACTGTTTATCCGCTGTTTATTGTCACATCGGCCACTTCCACTGCGTATTACGTTTATTTTTTCACTGTTTAAAAGACCGCCACAAAAAAAACATCTCACCCTACATGAAAATGTTTGTGCCCATGGTTCCAAACACATTGATTCAGCTTAGAAACTCATAAAATCGACCATAATCGTTATTAATTAATAATGTACATATATGAAGCACGTCCAAACATAATGTTTGTGTGGTACGGAGGGGCACCGATAGAGATCTGCGGACGGAAGGGGCGGCGGCCCAGAACTGCAAACAAGTAAGAAGGCGCCGATAGAGAAGTTACGAGCGACTTGCGATGGCGACCACGAGTCAGGGATTTAGCTTAGGGCCTCACTGTATTTTTCAGAATTGCTAGGCATCAACCAACTGATTTGGGCACCTCTGTCAGCCGAATTTCTGTGCGTCTGTTCCGCACAGAAAGCGCGATCTGCCGCTCAATGGTCGCCGCCGCTTCCTCCCTGCTCTGCGCTCCGCCCCCAGGTACGCCACGGGGCCACGCACGCACGCTCGGCGTCACGCGTCGCTGCACGCCGCCGGCCGGTGCACCGAGAAAGCGTTTGGCATTTGCTAGCTTCGTGTTGTGTGCCGTGCGAGGCTTCACGCCTTCCCTGTCTGTCACGTACTGTGTGCACGTAGGTGCTGGGGTTCGGTTGGGCGGGAATATTCGGGCGGTATCTGGTGGAGCCGGCGGCGATGTGGTGGCCCTCCAACCTCGTCCCTTGTCTGTGAACAATCTGTTATTTTTCTAAAATTTGTGAAGAATTTGTGAACAATTTGAGATATATCTCTCTGGTATCTGTAATCCATAAAATTAATTTGTAAACTTTTCTGAAAATTTTGACATATATTTCTCTGAGATTTGTAATTCATAAAAATATTTTGTGTTATTCCCAAATTACATTATTCTGTCCAATTAATTACACTGAAAAAATCATTGTAAATATAATAATAAGATAATGTAAATATAGCTAGATAGCAGTTTAAATGCTTGAGAAAAATTCGGTTGACAGGAGGAGCCAAAACAACTAAATGACACCTAGACTGATTTGTATTTTTATATACAATATATACAAGAGTCGGAGGTGGCTAGAGTAGGCCTTGCGGGGCTTTCTGCTAATCGAGTCTGCTGGGCTAGCACACCCGTGTCAAGAGAGGACCCGGGCACGGTCCTCCAATCAGGCCAGGCCACCATCAGGACGGCGAAAATCACGCCGTGTTGATCTTGAGCCGGACCAAAATGTCAGGTTGTAGGCCGTCAGCCTATTCGGCTAGTGCTGATACGATCATATACGATCGTGGATTATTACTGTTGGCTGGTTTGGTGTGAGAGAAAAATATTGTTCTGGCTGAAAATTTACGATCGTTTATGACCAAACGAACAGGCCGCGTGTTGATAGATCTCGGGCCTTATGATCATCTCTGACTGGGGGAGCAGCTCAAACTCGCTTATGTGTAGGCTTGGACGAAAAACTCGTAACTTGATAGCTTGCTCGGCTCGCTCGTCAGTGGCTCCGCTCGAGCTTGGCTCGTTTGAATTTTTAGATGAGCTGAGCCAACACTTTAGCTCGGTTAATTAACGAGCCAAGTCGAGTCAGCTTGTGAGCTGCTCGCGAGCCATGACGAGCCAAGGTAAAGATTTTTGTTGCAAAGATTGGGGATTAGCAACTGTTTTTATTTGATTCTTGTAAAGATTGTTGTTGTTTCTTCTTGAACGATGAAAGATTGTTGTTCCTTGGGTTGATTATTGGTGTTTATTTGAACCATGGAGCTGCCACGCAACGAATCTCCATCTGTCACGCTAGGCTAGAATACGGCGATTTTCTTTCTCTCCTCTTTTGCACCAGTGAGCTCGCGAGCCAAACGATCTGGCTCTTGCTAGCAAAGAGCCGAGCTGAGCTAGAATTCTGGTTCATTAGAGCTTGTCTAAAATTCTGGTTAGCCAGCTCAATAAGAGCCGAGCCGAGCCGTAACCAGCCGAGCTATAAAGAGGCTCGATATGCCGCCCTACTTATGTGACAAATGTCAGGAAACAGGGGGTGCTGACTTTGTAAAAAGATGTCAAGGCCAGGTCCTGTGCTGCCTGGCTAGTGGCGAGCAGCGTCCAGACCAGACTGGATTTATAAAATAATATGCCAAAGGGGAACTGCAATCTGAAGGTTAAAAAATAACAGATGCATGTGCTTCCCACTTGTGATGATGGACAGTTCGACATTGGAGCAGAGATGTTGTATGCATGCATGTGGCCATCGTCATTAGCTAGTTAAGTGAGCAATTAGGAGTTTCTTATTTCGGATCCTTCTGGCAATGTTGGTGAGTTGCCTCCCCCAAGCCTAAAGTCCTGAACCGCTGGACATTAGCGCCTGAATCAAATGCTCTGCAGTGTGATTATATTTTATACAAGCCAGCTTAACAAAGCAGAGTTGTCCCTCTCAATCACCTTTAATTGGCCAGCTCAAATTTCTTAGCGAGGAATCATCATTTGTACTACGTACGTACTATAGGAGCCAGCAGAAAGAACTTCTGTTCCAAGCTACGTACTCCTACTGCTACTGCTACTGCAAACAGCAAGTACCGTACAGCACGGTGCGGTGACCACATGGCGCAGCGAAACGCGGTCGTGCGCGGTGTCACCATGTCGACGACAACGAGAAAAGCCGAGCGGACAACACGGGCAATAATATAATGCGCGCTTTGCTCCCAACTGCCGCCCAGTCCGCCATGCATCCCACGACGACGAGCTAGCCTAGCCAACTCCATGAGCCCCGCCCAGCGAGCGCGCGGCAGCTCCACCATCCCCTCCGGTATAAAATCCATGGCGCCAGTGACCCCAAGTCACTTCACTTGTCTTGCTGCCTACTGTCTACTCATTTGCGTTGCGTGGCCCTATTGGTACAAGCCTAGCTGGCAATGGCGGACGCGCCAGTGGCAGCGATGGGCGTGCACGATCAGCAGCAGCGGAGGCGGCGTTCGCGGGCGTCGAGCGAGTACCTGGGCGTGAGGCGGCGGCCGTGGGGCCGGTACGCGGCGGAGATCCGCAACCCGGTCACCAAGGAGCGCCACTGGCTCGGCACCTTCGACACCGCCGAGGAGGCCGCCGTCGCCTACGACCTCTCAGCCATCTCCATCTCCGGCCCCGCCGCCGCGCGCACCAACTTCTACTACCCGCGCGACGCCGCCGGGCTCCCGGCCGCGGGCGCGGCCACCGCGCGGCGGCGGCAGGAGCTGCTGCTGCCTTATGATGCTCCTGTGGTGCCATCACCAGCGCCGCCGCCCTCGCCGTTGTCCGGCCGTAGCGGCGGTGATACTGTGGATGATTATGAATGTCAGTTCACGGTGGAGGAGACTGATGCCGACGACGAGTCCATGACGATAGCGGCCATTCTGCAGAGCTTCCAGCATCTGAATGCTCCAGCGGCATCCTCTGCTTCGCTGTATTAGCTGTACGCCTGTAACGTGTTTGAGAACCGGGGCAGAGTGTGTGTGTATGACGTGGGATGATGTATGTCTACTTGCTGAATATGTAGGCCGCTAATAGAAGGTCATGCTCATTGTCCCATGTTAGCCATCTTTACCATGTCTCATTCTAGTTTCTTATTACTCCGTTTCGTAATGTCTAGGAGAGAGATGCTCCCGTTTACTAGCTGTCTAACAATAGGGAGGTTGGAACATGTAAAAAAATGATAATAGATTATAGTGAACAGAAGTAAAAGCAAAATGTAAAAAAAAAAGATAATAGATTGCTTTCTGATCCGTTGGCTTAACCTCTATTAGAGTATGTTCATCACAAGCCCAGGAGTCGCTGCTTTTGATTTGGAGGCTTCACCACTTTGGAGGGTACTATCATCTAGTCTCAAGTTTAGTAGAAGCCCCTAAATTAGGGCCCCTACTTCTGTATTCTTGCTTTCTCTATGTATTCTACGAATTTAATACAATGTAAATGTGAAAAACAATGTTACGAGTTTATACAAATGACTAATATTCAAATAAGTTAATTCAAAATTTGAATGATATTGTTCACTATATCACATAGTTCATCACAACATTAAGACCACAAACATGAAACAACAATGCATCAATTCTCTCCTCCATTGTCATCACCACCACTAGCCTCATTACCATCACCCATTGCACCACTTGATCCACCGAAATTGTTGATCAACGCCGATATCCGTTTAGCTACATAAAGTTGAGCCCTCATTGCCACCACATATGCTTTCACACCCTGCTCTAAAAGTGTTGATGTCACAAAACATGATCTTCTATTCTTGCTCCCGCATCAACCTCTGATCTTCAATGTCGACCTTGCATTTCTCCATCACCACCTTGCACTCCTTCAGTGAGACCCTACGCTTATGTATCATCTTGCTCTGCTTACATCTCTCCTCTTTCAAATTTTCATTTTTCCAAAATGAAGTTTTAAAGGACCTCATTGTACAGTCCTTCATCTCCCGCACTCCTCAATTTCTCCTCCTCCTGTTTCCTACCCATTGATCTCTTCTTCGCACTTGGTATGGTTGAATCAAGAGTGCCACTCTTACAACTTGCCTCCTTTTCTTGTCCATCCTGAAAGGGGTCTTGGAAAGGTGCCTGAGTTGCTTATCCTACGCCTCTTGAAATTCTCAAGCGACATGAACTTGGGACAATGCCACACCTCAACCAACAATGAACAAATGCAAAGGAGTTGTTATTTGGATCCATCGACATATGTTGTTTGTGCCTCAAGCAACTACAACTAACATCTGCTAATTTAAATTACCACTATGTTATAAAAATAAATGATGAAGAAACATTCTAACTTACATGCTCCAAGTAAGCAACACCACTTTGATGGCGACACTCAATGACCTAAATAATTGCTTGAAACTTCAGACACTCCCTTTTAATGAGGTCCCAAAGGTGCTCATGGTAGTTTGCACTCCTATATATACTCTTCAATGTCTAGTTGGCATGAAAGTTGCCATGTATTCTTTTCCAATGTGTCCTTGAAGGACAACTTCAGGCGTGCATCTCCCCAACAGGTCCTCCTGGGAGGTGTTCCCAAGTCTTTGCGGTGAAGGACAGGCTCTAAATTGGCTTAATCGGTCTCTAGATCCGTTTCGCTGATTCTTTGAGTTACTTGCTGCGTGTGATAGGTCGTGTGCGACCTCGGGGGTTCTAGCCCTTGCTAGTGTGTGATCCGAAAGGCATCAACATGGATATCAGAAGAACGAAGTTATTTTTTTCGCTATTCAAAGTCTAAGGTTATATCCTTTTGTAACGAATACGTTATGTAATAGAGCATTGTCTTTTTGATATTTCCTCTTATTTGTAGCTATATGTGTGGTTTGACTTCCTAGGCACACATATATTATGTATTTGGTTTTGTTCTTAAAACTGGGTACTACGAAGTGGTATTAAGACACCTTGACGAAGCCATTGATGATATGGATGAGTGGAGGAGTTGTGCCGGGCTACCCAAGATCAATGAATTGGAGAACATATCTCACTCATCCCCACGCAAGAAATACTACCCCGGATGCCCCTGCAGCCGTACCATCTCTAAGGAATAGGAGCTTATGTCCCTTTTGTAATAAAACCACTATTAGCAAAGTTGAGTCAAGTCAGTTAGTCTTAATGTTTGAAGTGTAAATTTTAGTGTTTGGTTGGTTTGTCTTAATGCTTATGTTTGAGTTGGATCTTTGTAATGAGTCCAATGATCTTGTGGGGGTATTTCCACAATTTCATTTAGTTTATAGGTTTAAGATATAAAGATTAATGAAATAAATAGTTGGGTTTTAGTTATCTCCTGTTTTTCCTATCTGTCCTTTTGAGCAACCTGCCTTCATCTTTTTGGTATCAATAAATCTGGACAACCAAAAATCATAGAGAAATCATGGACAATAGTAGACTTCAGTATCATTCTCTAACCGCAAGAATCACCTGCATAGCTGTTATGGTTTGGGAGTTATGATAATCACAAGACAATACATCTGTGCAGCCAGATGCCTGGAACAGTTTCAGTTGGGTACTGTTGTCAACTAACTTAACTGCAGAATCTGGAAAAATGTTCTATACGAAAGTTGCAGATGATTTCATAAGATTTCCAACAGTGTAAAGTACAACTTCTTCAGATGAACCAAACGAAGGTTATATCTGTTTTTCTGCTCGCGAGAAATTTAAGGTTCTTGTTCGTACCTATGCACGTAAGTTTCTATTGGATACCAGAAGAATGGAGTTATTTTTCAGTTGTTCAAAGTCTAAGGTTATATCGTTTTGTAATGAATATGTTATGCAATAAAGCATTGTCTTTTCATATTACCCCTTATTTATAGTTATATGTGTGGTTTGACTCCTGGACACACATATGGTATGTACCTGGTTTTATCCTTCAAACTATGTACTACACCCCATAGGCTTTAACACCCCTCCTCCGGTTCCCTCCCAGTTGGACATGGCCGGCCACGGACATAGCATGGCCATGGCTGCCGTGTCCCCAGCCTATGGTGCCACAACCGGTGCAGACCCTACCGCTCTAGAGTCAGCTGCAGTGGCCCCTAGCTGGCCATGAACGAACACAGACGCCCCAGGCTTGGCTTGTACGTAGTGGCCCCTAGATGGCCACGAGTGGCCACTTCCGTCCCAGGCACGGTAGAAGTAGCCACCGAATAGCTAGGGCAGGCCACAACTAGTCCAGGCTTGGCTGCGGCCACCCTAGTGCTGCACATGCCTCCCCAAGCCGCGACAGCGGCCACCATAGGCCAGCAAGCTAGGAGACATGCTCCATCGGGCAACAAGACAACAAGGGATGATTAGGTATCAATCTATTCCATCTTATTGCTATGAGATTAACTAATTGTTAAGCATATTGTGAAGTAGATGTCCGCATTAGTTAATCCTCATAATAGCATTACTAGATGCCAATATACGTGAGCTGGAACTTGTAAATTGGTGTGGAAAAACCATGGTCAAGGTGATGCAATGCAATGCAATGATGAACATACCATCTTGTTTGCAAGTTGTTCGTTGAACAAGTTAGAAAAGGAAATAGGCCAAACACTCGTTTGAACAATGTGGACTATACTGACCTAAATGATAGGTTCTTCCATTGTACTAGAATCATGTTGAAAAAAGTTAACTAAAGAACGAGGGGGACAAGTTGAGAGGTGATTTGACTCCATGGAGAAAATTATTGAGTAAGCAAACTAGAACTGATTGGAACTGGGACAAGGGAGTGATCAATATGGACAGGATTGGCGGAACAAGATAAAAGAAGGTGAAAATTCTATTATAATGTTTTGTTCATTTGTTGATTTCAATATTGACAAATGTTTTACGAAATTCCTGGATGCATCAAGTTTAAGAAGAGGCCTTTCCAAAATGAGGACGACCTAACACTACCCCAGATCTGGACATCACTGCCGGTTCAAAAACCCACTTCACTGCCGGATTTTGAACCGACAGTGGCATACCGGCAGTGATATGGGATTGACATCACTGCTGGTCCTTAAAAACCGACACTGATCTACAGGAAACAGTATCGGTTCCTGGCTCCACCCTGCAGTGTTCAGTTGAACAACACTACCGGTTTGTAGTGCCAACCGACAGTGACGGTTGTTTCAAGAATATCGGTTCTTGGCTCAAGCCAGCAATGTTGTGCAAACCTACACTGTCGGTTCGTGGATCAAACCGGTAGTGTTGTCGTAACCATCAGTGTCGGTTGATGGATCAAACCGACAGTGTTGTCGTAACCATCAGTGTCGGTTCATGGTTCAAGCTGGCAGTGTTGACAAAACCTACACTGTCGGTTCATGGATCAAACCAGCAGTGTTGTTGTAACCATCAGTGTCGGTTGATGGATCAAACTGGCAGTGTTGTCGTATCCATCAGTGTCGGTTGATGGTTCAAGCCGGCAGTGTTGAGCAAGCCAACACTGTCGGTTTGTTGCTAACCGGCGGTGATGGCCCGTTCGTATTTTATTGTTTTATAATTTATTTCAATTTGTATTTTTTTCGTGGAATCGGGTTTCACTTTATACATGCTACGTAGACGACATGTCCATCAATATTAAACATTACAAATGTTACGGTTACAATTCAAATTTCTTATCCAGATCTCGATCCCTCAAAATAAAAAAGAAATGTTCTCGGACTTCATAGATTGTGCAATGTTTCTCGGACTTCTTACAATAATCTGGCGAGCCGCTCTGGGCCATACTGGTCCTTGTACTTCATGGATTGTGCAATGGAAAATAGTCCATCTTTTTCCAATACCTCGGTTAAGATGAATTTTGCCAGCTTCGATTGTAGTGCGACGATCTCCATGTCTAGCAGCCTTTCGTGCTTAAATTTCTTGCGCTGTCGTTCAAAAAAGATGATATCCAAAGAGGAAAAGTAAATCATTTTGTTGAATTATTAACAGACATAAATGAAAATAGGGATTATACACACCAACTTATCGGC